GAATAAGCAAACACATTTTTACAAGGTCTTATCAAAGGTTACATCTCTCTATGAGCTGTTATCATTCTGAACAAATATCAGTTTAACCTTGTCAGAGGTTCTTGGTCATCCAGGTAATGGTAGTCTCAGGAGCTTAAAAAAGGCAACTGGACTTCTTTAGTTTTTTTGCCTCTCATCCAAAAGGCTTATTTCGTTCTGGAGCAGCTGCTGGAGAGTCCCCGGCAATAAACCCCTAGCTCTTTGGAGGTGGTTCTAAAAGGTTATTAACTCCCTGCAGGTGAAACCTCTGTGAGACATTGCCACACCATCATGTGAGCTATTGTGGCCACTCAAATGGACAATCTGTTTCATCTCATCTAATCACCGTGTACTATTGGTATGCAATTGTAATTTTCTTGTACAAAGAGAGTGTGATAACTATAAGCTGCGTATGAGGTCACACATTTTATTTGTCCTCATTATCAGGCTGGTGTCTACATGACTATGAGAAGAAACCTCACAGCTGGACAGACAGAGATTATGTCGACATAACGGGTGTAAAAGAGCTGATTTTTTTTCCTTCCTTTATAAAGGGAAAAGTTTTGTTTTATGAATTTCACAAAATCAGTATGGTTTCAACACTCTTTTTATTTTTAACACTGATTTCTTCTCTGCTTTCATGCTGATCCTGGCAAATCTGCAGGTCAACTCAGTGAGTTTGAATGCGTGCTTACCCCAGAGCAAATTATTGAAGAGATGAGTGGTCAACAATTGAGGGAAGACAGAGCCAGTACTTAAATCTCAATTGATAAAGAAGAGTGGGAAACAAGTGAATTTCCCCCGACAAGGGTGAAAATGATTTTTGTTGTTTTGCTACATAATTCTATAAATCTTGCTTCACATATTTCATGTCTTCAGTATGTATCTACAATGTAGAAAGTAGTAAAAACAAAGAAAAACACATTAAATGAGAAAGTCTGTCCAAACCTTTGACTGGTAGTGTATATATTCTGTCACGGCTGTGTGCAGG